CCCCCCCACATAACCACATAATAATCTTACCAGGTTGAAGTCCCTTTTATTTTGGTTTTGGTGGATCTGTCCCATTGAACCTATGCTCAAGGTGTGGTAGAACTAATAAGTAAATGAAAATAACTTTCCCATTCATTCTTAAATGTGTTTTTGACAGCGTTTGTACAGAGACACCTATGAAAAGAACAAGGCCAAGATCCACATCGCTCCTGATATGCTGGAGATCGTCGCTGCCCGGGAGACACAACACAAAGTCAGTGAAATCGATTATAGGAAATATCTCCATGAATGGATCTGCCTGCCTGACCTTCAGCTCTACGTCCACGCTCGCAAAGTCAACGAACATCTGAGCGATGTGAGTAGTGGGACTTTCATTCATGAAGTCTTTTCCACAGGATTTTTTTAAATCTTGTAGTAATCCTAATATTATGGTTGTGAGTGCTATTATTATTATTATACATGATTTATGTAGTGCCAACAGTTTGCACAGCAATTTATAAGGAAGACATTACAGTTACAAAACAAGATGGTTAGGAGGGCCTTGCCCTTGAGAGTACTACTCACAATACTAATGCTTTTCTCTTTCTCTTTGATAGATTGTGTACAAGGATGACCTGAACTGGCTAAAAGGAGTGGGCTGCTTAGTTTGGGACACACCCGAGATCCTGCATGCCAAGCACGCATATGACCTCCGTAGTGATGTAAGTGCAATAGCTTGTTCCCGTTTGGAATACAATACTTGGAAAGCATTCGTACTACATCATAGGAACAAAATGTGTAGACCAGAACACCAAAAACTATGAGACTGCAAGATATCACTGTTAGCAAACCACAAATAGACACTTAGAGGTTGATTTACTAAAAACAAATAGGTTGTTCACTTCGGAAGGGGATTTGCACTTTGCAAGGAAATTTTCCTTTAGCTTAGTGAATGTGGGGAAAATTCACTTTGCAAATAATACCCAATCGCATGCATGGAAATTAAGAAAAACAACTACAACAGTATTTTGCTTGCACATGATTGGATGATGGAAGTCAGCAGAGCTTCTCCTCATTCACTATGCTAAAGGAAAATGTCCTTTAGTAAATCCACCCCGTAAGGTCTACAACAACAGCACACTAAAGGGTCAATTTATCAAATCTTCCATTGGGCTATGCACTGGACGAATGCTGTTCTCTATGTGTTTACTATGCTCCTTGGCTCCATCTAGTGGCTGTAATGCTGTGTGAACAGCATTCGCCCAGCGTACGGTTGGGCGAAATATTGATAAATAGAACCTTAAGAGTATAGTCCAAGGGAATCAGGACAATGACAATGTACCATCATGCATTGTAAGTTCTAGAACAGTGGCATCCCGGGGGGGCGGCTGGAACGGGTTTTTCACATTTACAAATGCAGTGCTACCCAAATATGTATTACTTGTCATCTTTTCCAGCCGATAAAAATCAAATGTGCTGAAGGTATTATGTATGGATAAACTATAGCTGCTCCAGACATCGTGTGGTCAACCGATACAGTACAATAGTTAAATGGAAGCCAGTTTGGATATACAAATACTCCTTGGATAAGGCTTTTGCCATGAAATTCTGCTTAGTGCATAAACACTTGGCTGAAATGTTTTTCCGCATTTAAAAGGATCTGTTAAAAAAGATTTTTCAGTAGTCATAACTTCCTGCCATCTCATGTCTGTGGCTAGACTGAAGCATCAGGTAGCAATTATAATACTGCCAAAACTATTTATGAAAAAGTGCCAAACCGAAAATGGTTTGCAATTTCTTCCTTGGCACCTTTTTGAAGTGTAGATGCCAGCCATTTTCCGCCACCTATGATAAAGCAGCAGTTATATGCCTGGTTAACAGATAATCAGCAGAAAAAAACTTAAAAGGATAAGTTGTCTATATAAAATAGGAAAACAATACCAAAAGGAACCACCATACTGAAGGGTTTGGAGTAAATGTTTAAATTGAAATAAAATACAACAAAAATAGCTGTAACAATAGCTGTAAGACAGCAGAGAATTGCTGAACTTGAAAACTCAAGAACAGACAATTTAATTTTAAAACAAATCTCTTATATACCTATGATAAAAAATATACCAGAAACAAACCAAAAAGTAGCCCAGAAAATTGGAGCACAGACCATGGACATGTTTTGAATACTTGGAGTCTCAGAATGATGACATACAAACACTTTGGACACCAGAATGCTGTGCTAAGGGCACTTACACTTGGGGGTTTAGCAATGTAATACATTTCCAGAATAATTAACACAGATGTTCTTTATTTTTAACAGTATAAATACAAAGCTAAAGCTGAAGAGTTGAAGAAGACTTTCACCTCAGTTGTGGACACTCCAGTCTACGTCCAGGCTGCCACCAGTGGTAAACAAAGTAGTGATGTGAGTATCGTTCATGTAAAGCACAGAGACAACATTATTTATTGACAGAGTTGAATGCCTGAAGCCTTATTTATGAAAGAAGAGAGAATACAAGTGAATGTTTGCATTTTACTTTTCCATATATACCCTCAGCATTGTTCAGAGAATCATCATAATTAATGCAATTTATATGTCTCCTTTTCTCAGGTTGTGTATCACTCTGACTATGAGAAGAATGTTAGAGGAAAAGTTATTTCAGGCACCAATAGCGTAGAACTGGACAGAGCAAGCAACGCCAACAAGATACGCAGTGATGTAAGTGTGTCCCTTTTCTGTTCATACACAATAGAGAGATGTAAAGGTGTGCCGACTATAACACATGTAGAAATAAGACTAGATGTATAGCAGGGGTGCCCACTATTTTTCGTCTGGAGATCTACTTTTCAAATGACGAGCTCATTGAGATCTACCAATGAAAAAAAACACCTGCATTCAGGGGCGGGAGGGGGCGTGGCGGTGCATTGAGAAAGGCACTGCCAGAAAATAAAGTTTCACTTACAGAAGGGTTAATATTTTATTTAACGTATCATACAGTCCTAACCTTCTCTAAAACAGTGACCCCTTTATCATTCCAGATTACAGATACTGAAGCTGCATACAGAGTGTGCTGGTTACTACTTAAACCGGCGCGCTGTGTGCAGCTTCTGAGAAGAAACGCTATTAGCATAGCGAGGAAGTCGGCTGTGCATTTTGCATCGCTCCCGCAACGCTAATAGCGTATGTTCTCAGAAGCTGCACACAGCGCACGCTGGTTTAAGTAGTAACCAGCACGCTCTGTATGCAACTTCTAACAGCGTGGTAGACGGGAGGCTGTGCTTGTCAGTGGATCCAGGGATCAGGTGAGTATTTAAAAAAAATTATTGTATGTTCCCGGAGACATGTAGGGCTCATTCACACTGGAATTGGCCGACACGTACAGCTCCGTGCTGCGTGCACAGCCGTATCGGGCAGTTCCCAGGAAGGACAGGTGCTGCGTGTGATTAGTACGCAGTCCCTGTCCTTCTCTATGGGAGTACGCGGCCGTACGCCCCCCCTACGCTCACCCGCCCTGCACGTCCGTACGAGCATACAAGTACAATCACCTGCACCGATGTGCAGGATGGGTGAGCATAGGGCGGCTTACGGCCGCGTAGTCCTATAGAGAAGAACAGGGGCTGCGTACTAATCACATGCAGCACCTGTCCTTCCCGGGAGCTGCCCGATATGGCCGTGCACGCAGCACGCAGCTGTACATGCCGGCTGTTTCCAGTGTGAATGAGCCCTTAAAAAAACTGGTCACCTTACCCTGGTGGTCAGTGGGGGGGCCCTGGTTGGTAATGGGGGCTCTCCTGTGGCCACACCAGCCAGTTTACCCGCAGCAGATGCCGGAGGGCCCGTCACCCCCCCCACACACACACACTAAATGAAGCCCCTGGCCGCAGTGGCCCTCCCTCAGTATAGAGATGTAGAAGACTACATATGGGCATACAGATACACAGCATTAGGGCTCAGGATCAGCATTACAGTTAGGTTCAAGATTACTTAGATTATATCTATAGCCAGTTTTAGTTTTGGAAACTCCTTTCAAGTTTTATTGCTATCTGTGTTGCATTGGGGAGTTTTCCCAACTTCAATTTCTGTAGACACAACAAGAATTGAGAGGCAATCTCTTCAAAGTGAGTAAAATACTCTTTTAGGCAGTTTTCACAGCAACAAGTTTCCCCAATGTAAAATTTTCACTCTGTTCTTGTTCTGATTTCAACTCCAAAACTGGTATTTGCCCATACTTTCAATGACGGAGGTCACTAGGACAAATAGGAGGGTGAGTCTTTCCAGCTGGGAAGCAGACAAAAATTAAACCTGAAAAGGTTGCCAGCTCTTCCATACGCTATCCAAAACTAAAAGAAAGTTTAGGTTTTAGACACACTGTAAAGGTTTTATATCAAGACTAATGGCTGGTAAGTGACCAGGGCTTTTTCGAGTGAAAGTAATTTTCGGATGTGATTAGTTTTTTTGGGAATGATGAGGGCATAACTGATGTAGTAATAGTGATACTGTCCTAACTATTTTTATTTTTCTCCAGGCTCTGTACCGTGAGGCCAGTGTCAAATCTCTTCCTACAGGTTATAGTCTTCCAAAGGACATGCCGTCCATCGTACAAGCCAAGAAAGCTCAGATCATTGGCAGCGATGTGAGTACATTCACTGCCTTATCCAACCTTCACAATAGTACATTCTCTGCTTTTCCACCCAAATACAAGGAAATGCATGCTGGCTCCATTGTTCTAATATCTACCGTGTTTGTCTTTGCCAACATAGCTCAAGTACAAAGAACTCTATGAACACGTAAAGGCTAAATCCTACACCCTGCCTCCAGATAATGTCAGCTTTGCCAACATCAAGAAAGTCAACAAAATCCTTAATGAGGTAAGGAGTCATTCATTCATTCATAGTCCATTCATATTTTTAGAGCCTGCTCTTTGTGAAATAGTTTATGGTTCACCAACAGCAGCATATTCAGGTACTTTTATTAATTAGTCATGTAGAAAAATGTTAGCCAAAAAAAAAAGATGTGACTTGACAGAACCTTAAACAAAGTGTAGTTCAAAAAGGTTTTAATGTAAATCTTGAAGGATGTTAAACATATTTTATTGGCAAAGCCACATAAACCTAGGAATCTTATATGTGCTTCACATTGAATACGCTCTTTGCACTCCGTGAACTAGCCAATCAGCACCTGGGTGGATGTGCAGGGGTTGCAGACCAACATGGACAGAGATTTACAGTATGTTACTTTAAACAAAGTTAAACAATTTACCAAGTTTAAATCCTCTCCCTCACTTTCTTAGTAAAGGCTAATGTTAGCGGCTCTGCTTTCTAAAGTTAAATTGTTCACCTCCTTTGAGAGTTTGTCAGCTTACTGATAGCGAGGGCTCCCTTGACACTCCTGACTAATGATTTTTGGAGAAAATATCATTTCTGCAGTATCTCCATTTTTAATTTTTGAAGTAGTTGGCTTTCAAGTTTCCCAGTACTGGCTATTGGTAATAAAAGCATTGCCTTTGGACTCATCAGTCCTTACATAAAGAAGGTTATGGAGTTAGCATAATTGGATCCTTATTGCTAGAAAGAAGCTGCCTTTGAGGAAGCAAGTAGCTCTCTATTGGTAGGTCAGTGGCTGGAACCTTAGGTTGGAAAGGTTCAGGCTGAAAAAAATGACTTGTACATTCTTTTACACCCTCTGAATCCAGCCTACTACTTACATATCTATTGGTAGGGTACCTACACTGTTAGGCCTGAGGCCAAAGCCTATTGTGTTTTTTAAAACGCCCTTGGAAGATGGAAAGGCGTTCCTACAATTTACGGAAATGTATTTGTTCTCTAAAGTAAGAAACTGGAAGCCTTTTCTATCTTATAGAAGATCAAGGTGTTTTAGTTGAACTCTGTGGCAGATTATGTTTTAACTGTGCATGTAGTAAAGTATTTTACTTTTTTTTTTATTTCAGAGGCTTTACCGTGACTTATATCACAAGCAGAAGGATAAAATACATACAACTCCGGATACTCCAGAAATCCGCCAAGTCAAAGCTACACAGGATGCCATCAGTGATGTAAGTTTTGTTGATCTTCTTTGCTGATAAATGACATTGCATCATTTTGACACTGTACACGGTTATTATCTCACCCTTTCCTTTGTCTTTCAGCTGGTGTACAAAGCGGACTACTTCAAACTGCAAGGTCACTTGATCTCTATGCCATACACCCCACAGACTATTCATTGCCGCTATGTTGGAGAGATAACCAGCGATGTAAGTAATACTGTAGCGGGATATTATATTTATATTTCATATTTATGGTTGTTGTTTTGTTTATATCTGGTTATCTCTTTTGGATAGAATTCCCAACAAGGTAATGTATTGGGATTTAGGGTCAATTCCAATAAGTTGGAAGTTTAATTTGTTCAACCTTACTGTTAGAAATCGTAAGGGTCATTTCCTCTTCTTCTGGCAATCTCATACGTTGCTGTACCTGAGAAATAAGCTTACCCTGGATACAGCTACTCTTTCTAAGTCGAATCATACACCCTTTTTGGAAAATTGTCGGAGGCGATGGATTTGTGGTCTACATACCCTCTTTGATGGATTGACAGAATTGTCACGATTAAAATTACGTTATTGCCAAACATTTTATACTACTTCAGAACTTCACCTATCCATATTCCCTTGCTTGCCTTGAACAAATTCCACTCTGGCACCTTAAGAATTCTCCTGGGCTCTAGGGGGTGTAGGTTTGCCTGAAAGACACTGTATCCCCTCAAATCATCAAAAGGACTGGGGGTCCTGAACCTGTAAAAATAATGCTTAAATAACACAATGGTCACAAATGTTACTGTATTATTTATAAACCATATTGATCCTCTAATGTTATTGCTTCCGAAACAAGGCAAAACTATTTTTATGCCCTATACACTCACACATGCATAATGGAAACATTTCTGCAATTTATCTTCTCAAATGCCCACACCCTGTATTTTTGCCAGGGCTATAACCTCAATAGTTGAAATAGTGGATAGACAAAGGTCTATATTAGATAGGACACTACTTTGACCACAGGGCGTCCTGACCTAGGACAATTTTCTTCAAAAGCTTAAGTTGCCCCCTCTGAAAGAGACAAACAATATCACATCAGAAACAGTTTTTAAAAATAGATGCATTCGGGAAACAATGCAAAGAGGCAGAATCTCGGCTCTGTACCAGTTTTTCTCTGTAATGTCTACCAAACTGCCTCGTGAACTGGCTTGTAAATTCAAAGGTTAGCAAGGAGGATTGAACTTTAGGCACTACTAGAATGCACGGGGGGGATACTTTAGAGGCTTACTATAAAGTTCTATCATGCTGGTACTCTCCAGACTCACCAAAATCTTCCCCTATGCCACTCTCCTATGCTTCAGAGGACTTGGGCAGCGGGGCATGATGTTTCACATTTGTTTGACTTGCCCTAAACGCTATTGGACAAGAATACACACAATATATTTTGTTTCCACTGTTAATATTCCTAAAAATGTCTGTATGACCTCTTAAGCGACCAACTAAGCTCCATTACCTTTATTGTTTGTATTTGTCTGATATTGCACATGTATATATGCATAAGTGATGCAGAAACAAGACAACAAAGCCTTGTGTGTGTAAAAATTATTTTATTGAAAAGTAAGAAAAACAATTGGAAAAGAATACCTTACAAAGTGATATTATGACTAGATAACATGAACTAAACTTTTTTCCCATTGTCTCTCCTAGAATAAGTACAAGGAAGACTTACAGTGGCTGAAAGGTCTTGGGTGCTTCCTGTATGACACCCCAGATATGGTGCGGGCTCGTGACCTTCGCAAACTCTGGGTAAGCGAATGTTATATTGTGCCACATTATAACGGTAGTGCTAAATACTTGCCTTTCCAAGCAGTAATTCATTATTGGCTTCTGGTCAGTAGTAAATAATAAATGTTACAAACTGTATTTATACCTTTGTTTGTTTTTTCAGTCTAACTATCTGTACACCACACCTGCCAAGAAAATGTGGAACAAGTACAGTGTGGTACTAGACACCCCAGAATACAGGACTGTTCAAGAACTAAAGACACATCTCAGCGAGGTAAGTAACATATCTATAGTTTTAGAGGTTGTAGGCAAATGTGGAAAAATCAATATAGTATATGCCTAAGGCTTTGAATAACAAAGGATACGTATTTCAATCTGAGATATAGTGCTTTTCTCACTCTTTGGCAAAGCACTGCCTTAGTACAAAACATTTCAGTAATGTATCCTCCTGGCTTTTAATAAAGAAGAAAATTTGATAGCATCCCAGAGTGCGGTATTTTTTTATTTACAGTCTGTGATATTCCCATGAAAACAAGCTGGTGCCACACCTGAGGTATACTGTAGAGTACAGGACAAAGCTCTGCCATGAAGCGATATCCATCGCAGATAGTACATGCCTGGCCTTAAAAATGCTAAACATGTTTACTCTGCTAATTACAAATCATACCAGTAGATTGGCTGATGAAATGAGAGATGAGAGGGAGGACAAGGTTTATAGACACAAATTCAGATCTGCAGTCTTTCTGTCATGTCAAGTGAATTCATAGCAGTATCATGTTTCATTTACCAGGAGGGTGTTTAAAAGATACCCATCAGCATAGAACAATAGGAACTTCGACTGATGAGCAATTTTGAGGGTCAGAGGTCCCTGGATGTCTGTCTGACCTCACACTCTGCCACCATGCCTCTGATTATACATGAGGTCAAGCGCAACTGCATCAGGTGACAACTGACCCCCTCAATACTTCAGTTAAAGTGCCTATTTCAGACAAAGTAAGTAATGCTAAATATAGGAGACATAAAAATCCTTCCTAGGAAGCCTGCTCAGTTATAATATTTCAAGACTGAATATTCAGATTCCTGCAGAAGCTCAGTCATGAGTAGTTCTCTTCAACCCCATACCGCTGGTGTTCGTAACATGCATTACATAGACTACCTAATCATGTCATCACTGTGATTCGTTGTCACAGTAATCCCATGATTGGGAGCCTGTCCTACTGACCTCAATTGTTGCCATGTGACCAGATTCTTTTGGTCATAGCACTGTCACAGTTGTGCTGGAGATGTGCAACTGAGCATGGACAAAGCACATACGCGCATATGTGGCAGCATGGAATAAGGCCCAGCTCCATGCTGCCACATATATGGGTATTGCCAATATTAAGAATTACATTTTGGCATTTAGACATGTCAAAAGGAGAGGTACGGAACACAATTGGATGCTCATAGAATGTTTGCACGCTCTTCAGTGTAAAACAGTTATGTTTGATGAGGTACAGTGTTAAAGACAAAGATAAACTTCACAATACAAGGAAGATATTAAAGGAATGCAGTAAATAAACTGCACCATAAATGTTTGTTTATTGTATAGAATTTTCTTTGTACATTTTGATAAATAAAACCTGCTACCTAGTACACATGGAATCTGTTGGTCAAATGACCTCCAATTCAAGTGGGATTTTCAGTACCTTTAGTTACTATGAATGTGAATAAATAAATTCCTGGCCTTTCACAAAATACATCAGCAGTATAAATTTAAAAAACTCTATCTTTTATCATTAAAAAGCCATCCTTGTGCTCTAGACAAGAGATGTTGTCTCGGCTGGGATGATGTCATCAGTCTGATGCAGGTAGGAGGAAGCCTTTCCTCAGTCTCTTTTCCCGCAGTGATTAGATTGCGACATTGTAATTTTGTAGCAATTCATAAGGTGAGAGGCTGCAGCAGCAGCGTATCTGTGCCAGACATTTGTGAAGGCAAGAACTGTACAGGCAACAGGATTCTCATCTCCAGTTCAGTTGGCGCTGACTAGTTCAGTTGGTGCTCCAGTCCAGTTGGCGCTGACCATGGGTGATGCCTGAACAAAGATAGTGCTGCCCTTCTGGAGAGTATAGCAGAAGAAAGCATTGTCAGGGGGAGTTTTGTCATCTCTTTGAGAGGTAATAAATACCTGGAAGTGTTACAGTTACACATTTCTTAGCATGCATGCACTTAGCATAAAAGAGTATATGTGATGATCTTAAGATGGTTTTCTGTGCTTGATTGCATGGCTTATGAATAAAATCAATTGTCTTCTATGTTTAGAATGTATACAGAGCAGCTGGCAACAAACAGAAGACAGTATACACCTCTGTACTAGATACTCCAGACTTTATTAGAGCCAAGGCAGGACAACAACTTCAGAGCAAGGTGAGATCCCTCAACTGGCCATATGTTGTTACAATGACTAATAAATTGAATGATTAGCAATTAATCAAATCAATGTGTTAATACTATTTTACCTAGCCTGTAGCCAAGCAAGGATATATTGCCTCCTGTGGATGAAACTAGGAACTCCATTAGAGGAATACACTGTTATCTGACTACCAGTATAAGACACTGGAGGTGGCTTCAGTCCACCAGTACCCACCCACACAGTCCTTAATGATCAACTTTACAATTTCAGTGCTGATAAATATAATGTATGTGTATATACTACGTTACATGTAATATTTAACACATCATCACAACCATTTTCATTCCTTACCTGTCTCTACATCTAAAATTTTCCAATTCTATCCTTGTCTGGGTGGGACAATATGTAAAAAGCATTCTTTAGGTGTCTCTGTGTGCTGTTCTGAACATGCTATGAGGTGCAGTCTGCGAGAAAGGTGGAAAAAGCTGCGTTTAGTAGGGTAAGAATGTGAAGTCTTGCTTATTATAAACATTACTTATCTTTTTTTTCTAGTACCTATACACAGAGGTTGCAACTAAAGAGAGACCCCATCACCATGTTGATGGACAGACACAAGCAAACAAACTTGCTAAATTTGTCAAGGACCTGGTCAGCGAGGTAAGATTTTAACATTTGTAAGTAATTTTAGACCATGGGTGCTGTTCATAAACCAGTGACTTTTATCATTAATTATATTTATTTGTATAACACCTTACAAAATACATAGAACATCAATCTCTGTACTCCAAAGGGGCTCATAGTATAAGGAGCCTACCACACCAGGGCCAGTTTGGGAGGGATGCAGTTAACTTACCAGTATAGTTGTATTGTGGGAGAAAATGGGAGCATTTAGAGGGAGCCCAGAAATACTTGCGGATAACATTGAAACTCCATGCAGATAGCATCCTTGGTAGGATCTAAACCCAGTGCTGTGATGGTGTCAGCCATTTACAGCCAAATGATGAATTGGGATACTATCCACAGAGCATGTGAAGTAGCTCTTGGGTCTATTTCCGCCATGCACCCTCTTGTTGTTTACCAGCCCTTCCTGTTTTTCAGCCATATTACTTTCATCTAGCATTTCGTAAGCACATGGACCATGTGTTAATCAGGTTAGGGGGGGCTGTTATAAATTGTGTGATACATTGTATGTGATATTTCAATAATTATAGACCGGGCCTCGACCACACTGATATATATATATTTTCATTATGTGGCTTATTCATATTGTGATTTATTTCTTCAATGCCAATAATGTTATTGGAGTGGGAACATTCTGGTTTTTAGATGGTTTTATGTGTTAGGGTTTTGATTCTCGAATTTGTGTGTGGCAATAAACTTTTGATATTGTATCTTATCAGAGCAACTATTTTGTGGGGTTCTTCTTGCCCTTAATATGTCATTCATAGCCATAGTCCAGGCTAAGCCAGTAAAATCTTGCATTCAACATAGCCAGATTTTGCCAGCTCTTAGGCCCTCTCAATTATTTATTATTTTTGATATGTCAAACTTACAGAAGTGTAAAAAAGGGGAACTAAGGAAATATATGACAATTCTACGAAATAGAGGTGATTTAACTAGGAACAAGTGGTGACAACAACCAATGACTCATTCAACACTTACGGGGTTCTTGTGTTGGGGATGACTTAACATGCATCAGTCAAAAATGCAATAAAATATACTTACATTTAATATGTATTTTATTAAATTCTGTATATTAATTGAGATATACTATTGCTCTTTTGTTTCCAGAAAAAATACAAAGCACAGTACGAAAAACTGAAGCACAAGTATACTTCAGTGATTGACACTCCAATCATCCTGAGAGCCAAGAAGGCTTACCTCAATGCTAGCGATGTAAGTATTAAGTACTGGTTAGAGGGACTTACTTGCTGACTGTGTTGTCTGAGTCTTTTTAAGGTGGTGCACCAAAAATTGGAGAATGTGCATTTTCCAGATCAAAATGTGTCAAGTTTACACCTTAAGACCTATGAAGGTATATATACACTTGGCTCTAATCTCAGTCTTCCCATGAACGTCTGAATCCTAAAGTCAGATTCCACCAGTTTTATGGCTATCATCAAAAACCTAGGACAGTTCAGGAGTTCTGGGGAATGTAGGTATAGAGTACTAAACAGTGTCTGGTTGTGGCCATGTGTTTGGAAGAACTTAACATTTCAAAAATAGCTGTTGCTGAATATTAGGAAGTAAAGACACCAAAATTATTTTTATATATCCCTTGGAACCATTAGCTTTGTACAAATGTTTATTCAGACTCAGTCACACAAGCCAGGGCTATTATTTAAAGGAGTATTCCACCCAAAATTAAAACCAAAATGAATAGTTTTGAGCCACCCACTAGCACTCTGTAAATTATTATAGAACTCTGGTAGAGAGATCTCTGCACCCACGTTCCCAGCTTCACCCACCTGATGCCACCTTCTTATGGTGGGGGAGGGGGGTCTCACTCACTATTGTCTCTGCAACATTGAAGCAGGCTCCTTGACCAGCAGAGCCAGAGTCTTTAGAGATTCAATTCACTTGGATCAAAGCAGAACCACAATATTTACAGATCTGACCCTTTTATGTCACATGAGGCCAGAGTATGAATGGGAAAGGGGGTGTGGGGGAGGGTCCACTATACTCATACAATTTATGACACTTCTCTCCTGTTTTCCACAGCTACGGTACAAAGAAACCTTTGAGAAAGCCAAGGGAAAATACCACACGGTAAAAGACGCCTTGGATGTCATCTACCACCGCAAAGTCACCGACGACATCAGCAGTGTAAGTGGCTAAAAGGATATGTACACTTTTCAGCATTCTTCCATGCTAATTCTAAACTTTTCATGTATTTTCAACATCTTTATTTCTATTTTTAGGTTAAATATAAAGAGAAGTATGTTAGCCAGCTGGGTATATGGAGGTCCATTCCCGATCACCCTGAGCTTTTCCGTCACCGCGCAGTGACAGATTCTGTCAGCGATGTAAGTTAATGGCCTTTGAATGATATGTAACTTGCATGATGACAAACAAAACTAAACATCCAATAAAAGGAGAAATGTTCTGCTTAACTGGGGCCAATTCCAGCAAATTACACTGAGGGATCTATACCACCCGCAGCCCCCAAGTAAACAACAAGAAAGCACTTATCTTCATTTCTTACAATGTTCAGCAGACTGAAGTCCACCAGAATGGTATGGCAAGTTGTCCTAAGTATATCTGTAAACTGGAAGGAATGGGACATCTCTGGGTTATTCTGTATTCCAAAACTTAAGCTGGTAGTTCAATATAACAATATATAATGTTCAGAAATCCATAGCAACCAACAAGATTTAATCTTGCTTAAGTCAATAAAAGGTAAATTCCGAATGGTTGCTATGACTTCTTGCACGGCTTTTTCTTTTCTTGATTTGCCAGCTTGTTTGCTCTGAATAGTATCTCAACTGCAGCAGTGAAATTACAGTTTATTAGACACAGAGCAATTAGAAAAGTCATCCAGCACTAGTTCCTGTTTTCAGTTGTACTTTATTCTGGTGATTTAGGGCTCAATAAAACCTTTTGCATTTAATGCTGTTGTGCAGTTAGGTGGCATATAGAGTAATACATATGTTTGTTGTGTTTTTTTTACATAGCATGTTAAAATACCCTGTACTGGCAGCACACTGGAGAGTCAGACTGCTGCTCTCACACACAATGCAGCAGCCCAGGTGTTCGACCTGTAAAATGCTCCCATTTACAGCACTGCCCAGGTAGCGTGAGCAATGTACAGGGGCGCATTGTGTGTGGGAGCAGTGGACTGATTCTTCAGCACACTGCCAACACTGTTTTTTTTAACCCTTGCTGCAGCACATAGTACTGTATGTATAAAGACAGTTGGGTTTTAAGGCTCTTCATAATTGTGGGAGAAAGCAATAATAACAAACAGTTTCCTAGTGTGTAATTCCACTGATATATTCTTATATTGAAACAGCTGCCTAGCTCTACACTGCCTAAATGTCCCAAGTGATGCTAGAATTAGATACGCCACTTGCTTTAACTGGGCTTTATATGGCCACCCTAAGAATATGTCCGCAATCTTGTTATGACAGAAAATAATGGCACTGTGGGTTTGTTAGCATGCACAGTAATGTAAAAAAAGAAATAGTCAAAAGAAATTGATGCCTTTTTGATGATGAAGTAATAACTTTATGTTTTTGTCCACAGTTCAAATATAAAGAGGACTTGACCTGGCTGAAGGGCATCGGCTGCTATGCCTACGACACACCTGACTTTACTCTGGCAGGACAAAACAAAAAACTCTACAGTGCAGTAAGTACACACACACACACATATATATACCATTTTTTTTGAAGGATTTCCCTTAAAATAGAACCATGATCAAACTACAGTATAGCATTACATGGTATAATTTGTATATACAGGTGAAACTCGAATAATTAGAATATCATGCAAAAGTAATTGTAACTTTCTTTACTCCTGCAGTGAAATCATTGCAGCATTATTACCAGCTGCTTAGATGTTGGCACCATTGATAGCCCTATCAGTGGATAGCCATGTCTAGCTCCATTGACAGTCCTTGAGATCGACACCATTGCTCTATCTGTAGAAGCTTAGATAAATGTTACCCTGCTATTTCCTTCCCACACCCTCCAGCACTGATTGGTAGTCCATTTGGCATGCCAACTTGATCAATGCCCACTAATTACTCCAAAAAAATAAGATTGGCTGCTATGAATTATAATATATAGTTTGATCATTGCACTTTCCCTGCCTACTTTTGTAAACCCAGTTGATGCATTCTAAGTGTTCGGTATTCTACATACATGTTATGACTTTTCTATGATAATAATTCAGTACAGGGAATCGGGCTTGTTTAATATGTCAGTGGAATGAGCAATGCCCAAACTGACGCAGTAACCAAGCAGACTACAGCTTACTGTAGATGTATTAGCAAAATGGGAATCTGGCTAATTTCTTTGGGTTAGTGTACGTTGCTTTATTCTAATATGCCTGACTGAGCGTAAAGATGAATGAACCTTGATCAACCGCTCTCTCTCTCTTTCACAGTACAAGTACCGTGAGTCCTTTGAAAAGACAAAGTCCAAATTCAAGTACACAGAGGATACTCCTCTGTTCAATCACTTCAAGTATGCTACTCAACTGGCAAACGAGGTAAGTTGACCACTGCCTTAAGGGTGATGGCATCTGATGTAGATCCAGGTTAATTATAAGTAGCCTTGTGCTACTGAATCAGCATTCTATAGAGTTTGCTGACACTTAGCATAAAACATCATAATGAAGGTGTCCTATGGGAACTAATGTGAGAAAGGAAGATTTTTTTTTACCATACAGCTGCATACTGTGTAACTTCCTGACTTAGGTAAGCTGAGAGGCCACACTATTGTACAGATAACATGATGTAGCTAACACTGCTATACCATTTCTGATACACACGGTTAACTGGTCTTAGTTGTATGTGGAGAGATACTAGTAGATATCTTTGCACTGATTCCTTACATGCAATATGTATGGGAACTATGAGGCTATTCATTGAATAGAAAATATCTGTTAATTCAAAATAACTTCCAGTTTAAGGCTCCATTCACACCCAGGCAACACCTATTACCAGCGCTTTACACGCGTTTTATGCAGTCTTTTCTGAAAGTTTTTTGCGTTGCATTTTTGTCAGCGGATTTGGGCAAATTCAGGTGAATGGGCAAAATGCGTGCAAAAACAATCGCAATTAACGTTTTCAAGATTTTTTTATTGAGTCTATGGGACTCAATAAGATTTAGAATTTGGTGCTGAAATCTGCCCTAAAGTAGCTCATGTACTATTTCAAGCGACAGGCATATTTCTGCTGTGTGAAAGGGACCATAGAAATGAATGGGATTCCTTGGGTGGAGCGTTTTGCCGCACTGAATCAGCTGTGACAATACACCTAGCTGTGAATGGAGCCTCAGAGAAAGTTGAAAAATGTAAAATAGACTGATCAGTTTAAAACCAGGTTCACATGCTTGTAGCCTTTTCAGGAATTCACCCCCTAATTATTACAGCATATCTGCTTAAAAGCTTTTAAAGTTTCTCAAATACACATGAAAACATTATTTATTAAAAAGAAAGAAAAATCTTTATGATTCATCCCAAAAAAACCTTGATGAAAATTACAATAGTGTAACATTAATACTATACGACAGTATAATGGATAGTCCCATACATATTTGTTTCTGTATTTAAACAACATACATCTCATGGTAGCCAAATAAATATCAGCTTTCATTACCATAGAGTTCCAATTGGCTGCTATTAGCTGCTGCATACCACTCCTCTCTACCACTTTAGTTACCAATAGTAGATACATGAGCCCAATCATGTATCTACTATTGGGTGTCTTTTGGGTTGTAGGTAATACTTTATCCGTCTTGGTTTAAAAACTCCAGTTAGATTGCAGCTAATGGTAAGATATTGTAGAAAGAAACTAATCAGATTTAGTCACATGACCTAAAATACTTTTCATTCTTACCTAACCATTTAACTGTTTATCATTGTATGAAATATGTCTATCATATTTTTGAACTGTTTGTATGACTATGCTAGTTTTATATACTGTTAGCTTACTATGGCTCTTGTTACAATAAAATAGTCTTATCTCTGAGGGGGATTTATCAAAACTGGAGCAGAGAAAATCTGAAGCAGCTGTGCATGGCAACCAATCAGCTTCTCTCTTTCATTTTCAAATCTTAACTGAGCAAACTTGAGAGAGAAGCTGATTGGTTGCCATGGGCAACTGCTCCAGAATTCGTCTGCTCCAGTTTTGATAAATTCCCTCCTATGTGTTTAATATGTGTACCATTAGGAAAAAATATATATCTGTTATATTATATAAATGTATTCAACTCCTCTGCTTTTTTTTTTTACAGATTTAAGGATACTTCATGTATTACTTTACCTCTGTTATAATATTTCTATTACTTACCAACATCTTTATTTTGGTTTAAACCCGTTCTTTGTTAAGTTTAAATTTTTTTGTCTCTATAATTTAATTTATCCAAAAGTATTTTATGCAAGTTTATATTGTGCCGATATTAAGCTATAACTTCCCTGTACTGTTCTGATCAGAAATTATACAAAGCTGCCCATGAGAAGGAGAAAACGCACTACAGCGTTGTTGTGGATGACCCCCGACACCTTCTGGCTAAAACTGCCAGCGAACAGATCAGCCAGGTAACACGGTTGCCCATTGCCAGTTGATGGAGGCTGGTGGCCCGTCTGTTCTTCGTCTGCGTGGGGTGTCATCAGGAAGAGATGTCTTTCTCTTGGTTCCAGTATCCTTGCCACTCAACTGGTCCTCCATGTTTGAGTGTGCCCATAATAAAATACTTTCTGTACTTGGCATTTTCATGGCAAAAAAAGGTTTTATGATTTTGGCCAATGGCATTCAAATCAAAACAGAATATGACTAGAGATATATTTTTTTGTGATCATTTACTTCTAATAGAATTTTCATTTATTAGAAGGAACCACTTAGATTGTTCTACATTAACAAACTCGTTAAGCTCTGTACGTACGTATATGAGCTGTACGTATATGAATTGGGGAAAACATGGACACTGGGGGAATGTATAGTGGTTTTGTATATATTTTCTTTCTTCATTTATTATGGTTAGGGGGCTAGTACTTAAAACAATTAAATATCTGAAGTCCAGTCAGCTTTGCCCTGCACTTTTATTCAACAGGGGGGTTTGTATGCAAGTCCATAACATAAAACAAACAACACAAACAAGCATCATTTGTATGTTTTTTTAGTGTTCAGTCAGCAGTCAGCCGTTTCACCCAGTAGCAAGCTCCCACAAATACATGTCCTGTGCATCTGTTAGCTCACATATATAAAAACCTGTAGAGAGCTAAGATTAATAATAAATAAACATGTAAACAACAAAAATTGTTTAATTTCGGATTGGTTCGGATTTTTTTTTTTCCGTTTTTCGGATCTGAAATTTGATTTGGTCCATTATTCGGATTTCATATCCGTCCAAATTTTCATTTCAGAAAGATCCACAACAGAGAGTCACATGACATGCCTGTAATGCAACCCCCAACAGCGAAAAAAACCCATCTGACTGGCCAGAGAACAATCACATGTCCCATTTTAGTTTCGTTTTGAATGAAATTTGGATGGATCTGAATTTTCATTAAATGAACATTTGGATTTGTTCCCATTCTGACTTGTTCGCATTTGGAAATTCAGATGTATCTGAATGTCCAAATTTAACAAAATTCATATGAATATTCATTCAGAATGAAATTAAAGGAGAACTATGGGGTTAAGGCATTTCCCCATAGTTCTCCTTAGGGTAACGGGAGGACACAAACTAGCGTCCTCCCGTCACCCTATGCTCAGTATACCGCGAGCTGTAGCTCGCGGTATACTGAGACGTCACAGTTATACTGAGATACTGAGACGCGGCAGCTGAAGCGGATCCCGACAATTATGTCTGGGATATAATTGTCGGGATCCGCCCCCTCCCCAGCTGTACCGCCCCCTCCCCGTACGATCCGCCAGTCAGCGCTGGCGGATCAGAGCGGGGAGGGGGGAATACAGCCCCTCCCATGTCACGTCAGAGAGCTGTGACAGGATCGAGAGGTGAGCGAACGTCGGTATATGTTCGCTCACCTCCCGATCTACTGAGTCGACCTGTGACAGTCTCATTGTCATACTCACCTCATAGTTCTCCTTTAAATTTAGATGTCCAATAAAGAAGTCTGACTATCATGTAAAATGTGGACCTAAGAATGGAGTCTTTATCGCTCCCAAAGACCTACAAACCCCCAGGCTTCAGGACCCAGAATAGAAGTTATTTAGATTTTAGGAAAACAAAAGGTTTTGTTTTTTCCACATCAGCCATATTTATGTATATAATTAAATATCTCCTATAAGTGTTTTGTATTCTTCATCTGAGCCAGAGGGTTGAGTTTTAGACTTATTTTGATCGATAACTTTTTATTTCATTTTTATCGACATTACACATAACACATTTCAATTAAAAAAAGACCAAAAAGACAAAACCCCATACAGTACTAAAGTAAAAAAAACACACAGCAAAAAAGACAGAAAAAACCCCCAAAACAAACAAAAACAAAACAAAAAAACACCTACAATTTTACCTCATTGTATCCACTGTCTCTTTTTCCTATGACATGGTGGATGGAAGGGCTGAAATATCAATTGCCTTCTCCTTTAGACTTATTTTGACCTGTTTCCTTCCCTTTGCTTTATCCCTCTATTGAAAAAAAATAAAAGCCTGTTTACAGAACTGATTTGCTCAGCATTAAGCTGAACTTAACATACAGTTCATGCTTGTCATTGATCTGTTATTAGGTGGCTCAGTCTGAAGTTTCATTCAGACACACCAACTCCCAAAGCAGGTACTTTCTGATGTGCTGTCTTGTTAGCTAGCCCAGAATGCTCTGAGAATTCTTTGTGTTTAATGTTATAATAATAAAACTTGTTGGAGAAAGTAAATAAATATATTAAACAATCATTTAAAAACTGAAAAACATATTTTTTAAATGTATGTAACTGACTCAAAACCACTATAGTCTCCCAATATGAACATAACATCCTAACAATGTGAAGTGTGTCCATAAATTTCAAAAATATAGTGCAATTGTTTTAAATATGAATGCAAGATTACCAATCCTTCATTTGCCATGGCTTACCCTAGTACAGAGTATTTATTTCTGCCTACATCCCTGCACATGCATTTTGTGGGATCTAGTGCTGTCTTACATGTCATCAGTGTTCTTCGTTGGTCTTTGCATGAACAGAAAAAATACAAATCTACCGCCAAGAGGCTACTTGAACATGGTTGCAATGAAATTCGGAGGCCAGATATGTTGCGGGCCCTGTACAACACCAGCATGTGGAGTCAGGTAATCCCAAAGATAAAAGATAAAACTCTGCGCTGGTCATTTACCCTTGCTTCTCAACACAACTAAGCTTTTCATAGATGTAACACTGCTTATATGCAAAATAATGCAGTACTGCCTTCTAATCAGCGAAAAATCACAAGCCCAATGTTAATCTGTATGTATGAAAGTGAGGAATAAGATACTTTTCATGGCAGTGTAGATAGAATTATACTTGTAAAGTATATTCATTGATTGAATGACAGAAAGTTAGTCGCAGTGCTAAATGCTAAACTGTATAAGACTGAAATACTGCAATATTTCTAAAAGTATCAAGTAAAAACTTTTTTTCTGTGGTTTTGGATAGAGCAGAGATGGAGAAGAATCTCTGTCAAGTTTTTATTGCTGTCTCTGTCCCATGTAGATTCAGTCTCTTCATTTACCCTGGTGGCCATTGTCACCGAGACAAGAATTGAGGGGAAATCCAAAATGTTAGAGTTGTCCCAAGAGCAAGAGGTGAGGGTAAATCACCCAATGGGACACCCATTCCAGTGTTAACTGTCTACCAGACGATTTCACCTTTTTTTTCTTGGGCTCCATATATCTCTAAGCTGTATTTGATATGTAGGCCGTAGTGTGGCAGAGAGCCAGCTGAATAGAATCCCTCTATACCAGACGAACAACATAACGTCAGCTATATTCCAGATTGGATGGTCCACCACCCCACACCTCTGGTATCCTCTAGTTATGGGACAGTGTAAAACACTTCTAAATGTATTTCATAACATTAATTAAAAATTGGCTCAGTATTAAAAGTAGTCAACCTAGCTCTTCCCAAATCTGGACACACAAATGCCTGGTCTACCTTTGGCTTAATTTCAGACAGCCTGACAACAGATTTTGCCATAAAAACATATGGGCAAACTTTAGACGCTGTTTATTTGTTATCCCTAACAAACTTTCAGATTGTTAGGAGGACGAAAAAACCTATTTGCATGTTCGAACAACTGCAGTTATAGCATGATCGAATTACCTCTTCCATCAGAATGACATCTAAATGTAAACTTTGAGGCACAGGTATCTGGAAGTTAACTCTTGCTGCCTTCCTTCTTGACCCAGGATTCTGCAAGCAGTTACACAGAACTCAGATTATGATAAACCAAATGAGGCTTCTGACTTTAGCACAGTTGCTGAATTTTACTGGATAGCATTAGTAGATCACTGAATGCTTTCACATGCTCTTAAAATATCACCTTCTAAAAAAAAAAAATATCCCCTCTGAAGCTCTGAAATACTGTTTCCTATTCCATTATACACTCTGTGCAAGTATAAAGACTTGGAATAATGTATGCAGTATAGAGAGGGGTCATGTCTGACTGATAATGTCACCAGTTTTATAATGAACAATTGAGAACGATCTCCCTGCAATCAATGGATAAGCCGCGTGACGTGTAACCAGCCCACTTGCAGTAACATTATACCAAGCAATTATCTGAGCATGTGTTGAGTTCATTGAGCAACAACCCTAACACAATGATTCACACACCCAAAGCAGTACAACAGTGCCATTAAGGCAATGTACCCTGACAGAAATGAGCCTGCACCGCTGCAATGAAAAACGAAATTCTCAGTCTAGATGGGATGGAGGCCATCACTGCAGACAAACTGGAGCTACAATACTAACTTAATTATACAGTACTGAAGGCGAGATTGTTTGTCAGATTGCTGTTGTAGAGTTGCATGCTGTCTGTGTGAAGTCATTCCTAGTGATGTTTTGTCTTGATGTGAATAGCTATATATGTGTCGTTATTGTTGTATGTATTTGTGCTTTGGATTGCATGGTGTTGATGAAAACAAAACTGATACATTTTGTAAACTGAGCTTATCACATAGGAGGCAAACATGTTTCTCTAGAAACATGACTGCTGTTCAAATTTACAGCCCTCAGCTGCTTAACTTCCTAGAGAACCTCTAAAGTAATATTCACAAGAAATTAGCGGCTTTACTGCAGCATGAGGCAAACACATAAATTGTACAATGTTAAAGGTGCCAATGGATTAGTAATTTGACTTCTCTCAAATAACTTACATACAAAATAACTGCTGATTATTAGCATGGCTGACACATACACTTTAAGGTAAACCACTACAAAACTTGCTCAGTTTTGCTATAATTGTGCATTACCAATATAAGGGTCTTTCTAGAAGCATAGCTATGCTTTTAGTTGCATGGTTTGACTTAAAGTCCAAGTCACCAATGGCTGAGTTTGTTATACAATATGGGATATTGTGCTATATAGATTAGTACTTAAAGTGACACTAAACTCAGAAGTTAAATCTTAAAAATGCACCCTAACTATTAACAAAAATAAATCTTATTTGTGCATCACTCGGCTGTAGATCCTAAAATCATTTCTGAATTGGTGCTGACACTGTCCTTCCTTCTGGAGGATGGCTACTTTTTTTTGGACCTACAGCCGAGTGATACAGAAATAAGATACATTTTTGTTCATAGTTAAGGTACTTGAGATAAGTGTCACTTTCAGTAAAAATGTTGCTTTGATATTGTACTAGAGACACACACACACACACACATATATATATACACACTGTGTTTTAAAAATATATTTTGGTTGATTTACAAGTTTAGGTAGTAGTTTAATCTAAGTAGTAGAGGCAATTCACAATGGGAGCGTTCACTTTGCTTAGTAAATAAAGTGAAACTGTTCACTTTAAATACCCAGTCATGTGCAATGGGAATGTAAAAATAAACAGCACTTTTGCTTGCACATTATTGGACAATTGAAATAAACACAGTTTTACCTCATTCATTAAGAGCGAACTAAAACCACACCTTTTTTTTTGGCTTTTGTGATCTTTTGGGTCAAAGGAGTCCATTTACTAATGTACTCCTGTGTGCCAAACTCAGGATATAGTGGGCTATTGTCCACTTTTTGCTGAGAGCCGCTTTAGTTAATCAACCCCATTGGGTGCTGGCAGAGTATAGAAAATTGATGTGGTCAGAATAGGAGTAGTTAAGATATATTCATACCTGTGCTCCTATTGTTAATATGTAGGCATACTGCTCAGTAATCACGCAAACTGGTTAGTGTGCATAGGCCCAAAAACATGCTGAACTTTTAATGCAAACACTGCAAATTAGTACGACACATAATATCAAATTACAGAAAACATCTTCCATCTGTACACATTGCACTGTTCTGACACCATGGTATCTTTAGGGCACACATTGTGTGTTGTATAATTTTAAAATTCATTTCTCTTCAGTGACGACAGGATGATTTGCAACTTCACAGTCAATAGCATTTGGTTTCATATGAGAAATTCTGATAGAAATATAAGCCTTTCTTTAAGATTAATGTAATTTACCTGCTTGTGAGCTAGAGACGTCAACAACCATTTCATTGACTGTTTTCACAATTAGAAAGAAAACATGATGATGACTAGTGTTATGCCGTATTATCTTTTTTTTCTTCTTAGCAATGATCTGCAAAACAAAACTTTTGTTAATTGTTTGGTTGTAAAAAAAACTGTTAGGTTTAAATGGCTTCGTTTAGAAAAAGACCAAAACTGTTGGTTGTGTTTGCAAACCATCTTGTAAACTGGAGAATATGAATGTATATCAAAGCGGGCATGCGTAAGATCGCATGTCATTTTATCTAAACCACACCACATATAAATGATAATACACATTTAAGATTTCTGCTGTAGCTGCCTATCTGCTTTGTGTTACTAGTGGAAGTACAAGGAGCTCTATGAGAAGGGGAAGGACAAATTCACATCTGTGATTGACACACCAGAGCACAACCGAGCTCAGAAGGCCGGAAAACAATTCAGTGAAGTAAGTATGGTTACAGAGTTTATCTTGTCTTGTTCTAAACTTAAAGTGGAACTATGACCTCCCATTAAAAATAAATATGTGCACCTGCACTTACAGTTTTCTATTAGTACATGTTGATCCTACCAGCGAAGTCCACCTAATGTAGCTTCCTATGATGGTGTGGGAACAATGCTTCACTGCTGCTCAATTCAGAGGAGAGTTGCCGCTCTCATGTAGGCTGTGTTGGCTTGCACTACAGTGGAATTAAAAAATTTGCATTGTCAATACTGATTCACAAGTCCGAAGCTTGTCAATCAGCAGATGGCCACACCTAGCTCTGCCCACTGTTTATTCTGGATTGACTGCACTTCCTCTGTTGTTGAACCTTCCTCCTCTGTAAGCTGCAGTTTATGGGAGAGGAAGCATGTGAGACACAAATAAAGGGATAATTTGGCTTAATCAGGGAAAATAAAATAAGTTTTTTTTACTTTATGAGGCTTGTGTATCACATAGTAACTGCATTTGTTACTTATTTAGACTTCCATACGGGAGCCTTTAGTTGTACTAAATCAAATTAGGTCCTGAGCAAGATCTTAACAATGGTTCTCATAAGTAACTTTCTTAGAGTATAATTGCATTTTTTTGCCTAATTCATTTAGGCCCTCTACAATTTAAAAGATTTTACTTTTCATAAATGAAAGAAGTGCTGACATTACAGTTCTGTGACTTTACACCCTTATTTAAGTGGCAGGGTGGACTCTCATCACCTCATCATTTTATGCAAAAGGCGGTTTTGGATTTCTTTGACCCCTACCATTTTCATTGAGTGTTAACATTGGATCTCAGTCACTCCACCTCTTTTATTAATTGTTATCATTGTATTTCTGTGACAGCACCATTATTCCAATGGTAACATGGGAGCTACATGCCCAGACTAACTATTACCACTGGACCTCTATGACTCCCAATCCCTTTATGCAATGGCAAAGAATGACACTCTATAACGCCAACCACTTAAAATGTAGAAATAGTGTCTGAGCTATTCATATACACTATTCAGGCACTTTCCAATTATTCTATGAGACTAAACTGTGGTTTATTAAGGAAGGTTTTATAAAAGAGCTAAGCACAATTTAAAGGAGAACTATGGGGTCAGTGTTTTTCCCCATAGTTCTCCTTAGGGTAACGGGAGGACACAAACTAGCGTCCTCCCGTTACCCTAAGCTCAGTATACCGCGAGCTACAGCTCGCGGTATACTGAGACGCCGGAGCGGATCCCGACCTCGACGTCGAGATCCACCCAGCTGCGTGAGTGACAGCTGGCTCTGTCACGGCAGAGAGCCGTGACAGGATCGAGAGGTGATCGTACCCGGTATGTGTTCGCTCACCTCCCGATCTACTGAGCCGACCTGTGACAGTCTCATTGTCACAGGTCGGCTAGAACTATGAGGTGAGTGGAAATCACTCATCTCATAGTTCTTCTTTAAGAACAAGCACGTATTGAAAATGGTGTGGTCTGGTGGTGTATATACTTAATTGTGGATACAGTTTTTGTCTGAATTTCTAATGTATATGTTTTACATTTGCAGATCATCTACAAAATGGATTGGAATAAGGCTAAAGCCAAATCTTATACCACGATCCAAGACACACCGGCACTGTTACATGCACGGAAAGTTAAGGACAAAATCAGTGAGGTGTGTATATGTTCTTAGCTGTCATCAAGCTGTAAATTGTCTAGACATCAGTAACCCATAATAAAAACATATCAAAAGAGATAAAAGCAAATATTAGTTACTATTAATTTAGAATCATTTTTTTGGGCTGGTTGTTTACTACGGAGAATCAACATTGGTGGTCTTTGCACCAGCATATCAACTTAACATCCTATTAAACACTGACCAAGATTCTTTATAAAATTATTATCATTATAACAATTAAGTTCTCCTTAGGGTAACGGGAGGACACAAACTAGCGTCCTCCCGTTACCCTAAGCTCAGTATACCGCGAGCTACAGCTCGCGGTATACTGAGACGCCGGAGCGGATCCCGACCTCGACGTCGAGATCCACCCAGCTGCGTGAGTGACAGCTGGCTCTGTCACGGCAGAGAGCCGTGACAGGATCGAGAGGTGATCGTACCCGGTATGTGTTCGCTCACCTCCCGATCTACTGAGCCGACCTGTGACAGTCTCATTGTCACAGGTCGGCTAGAACTATGAGGTGAGTGGAAATCACTCATCTCATAGTTCTTCTTTAAGAACAAGCACGTATTGAAAATGGTGTGGTCTGGTGGTGTATATACTTAATTGTGGATACAGTTTTTGTCTGAATTTCTAATGTATATGTTTTACATTTGCAGATCATCTACAAAATGGATTGGAATAAGGCTAAAGCCAAATCTTATACCACGATCCAAGACACACCGGCACTGTTACATGCACGGAAAGTTAAGGACAAAATCAGTGAGGTGTGTATATGTTCTTAGCTGTCATCAAGCTGTAAATTGTCTAGACATCAGTAACCCATAATAAAAACATATCAAAAGAGATAAAAGCAAATATTAGTTACTATTAATTTAGAATCATTTTTTTGGGCTGGTTGTTTACTACGGAGAATCAACATTGGTGGTCTTTGCACCAGCATATCAACTTAACATCCTATTAAACACTGACCAAGATTCTTTATAAAATTATTATCATTATAACAATTTTTTATCATTATTTGTAGTGATGATACTTCTATACAATTATTATTATGCTGTGTAAATCATTGCTAATATGTTGGGTGATGTAGATTGCAACAGGTGGTGATGATCAAGGAGCCCAATGAATTGCCTGGTCAAGGATTTTAAACCTCTCTATATAGATCGATAATATTAATATGTATGTGTTCATATTTTGAAGCTGAAATACAGAGAACTGTATGAGAAGAGTAGAGGAAACTGTACCCTCATACCAGATGCTGTTTCTATCAAGACAGCCAAAGATGCCTATAAAGCCATCAGCAATGTAAGTTTTTACTTCTCTCTCTCTCTCTCTCTCCCTCCCTCTCCCCTTCCTTTCTTTGTCACAACTCTCTTATTCCCCCTCTGTTTCTTTTTCTCGCCCTCTTAAAAATAGAACATCAGACCAAAGTATTTTGTTAGTTTTTGGTGGAGTAATGTATGGTTGGATTCCCTGCCCAGTATATATTGCTGTCCATAACCCCCAAAGGGGAGAGCTCCCTTTCTTGCAAGCTATTTTGTGACAGTCAAGTTTAAGCTGTGAGAGTAACTTCCTTGTTCTTTGCATTTATTGCTTTAAACAATCACGTAGAAGTCTCAGATAATAATGTTGTTCTTCCTTATAGGGCTATATAAAGAAGGTAAACATGAATAAAGTCTCTAGTCAAGTCTTGTTTGTCACATTAGCACCAGGTGAGGGTAGAGGGGTCTAAAACTAAATAAAAAGTTTTGAGTTGAGTTGATCTCCATCTTTACTACTTCCTCTACCTATAGGAGGATTGGGCAGGGGAGCAGAGGGACATTTACCCCCTGGGCCGGTGCAAATTATGCTGGTGGGCATTATGTAGTTACCTCCTGCCTGTTAAGACACACCATCTACCAGCATCTACTTCCTTTGCAGCTTTAAGATTTGGCTGTGTTGCAAAGGAAGTCAAAACTGAAGGAATGGACTGTAAAAAGTCTTGTGCTCATTTGTTAAAGAAAGCAGAATAAGGGTTATTTTTGATGATGGCATAGTATTTTATTTAGTATTTCATTTAGGTGAGTTGATGTTATCTTTACAAAGCAGCAGTTGTCTCCTTTTTTTTGCATATATATGTGAAAAGGTGTTTTACAATAAACCATGTTCTCAAAAAACCCCTACCTTTTACCATGGACACCAATCATTGTTAGACACTTTATGTGGTGTTCTTTATTTAGCCTTTAGGAAACTGTCCCTATTATGAAGGACCCAGTGGGTTGTGTTCGCCTCCCAGGAAAAAACTCCAAGCCTTCCCCTACATCTACCACAATTTCTCTCTCTTTCTCTCTATGTCTTCTGGTTCATTAACTATATGTTCTTCTATGGCTTTTATTCTCTCTCTTCTCTATCTGAACCGCCTTTTCTAACACATCTCTGAATTTCTGCTCCTGATGATAGTTCATCCTCAGTTTTCTTAACAAAGTTTCTCCTGTTAAACAGCTGGATTATAAGAAAAAATACGAGGCCAACAAGGCTCACTGGGAATGGATTGCTGACAGGCCAGACTTCTTGCAAAATGCAAAGTCTTCTCTACAGCAGAGTGATGTAAGTGACTTATCATTGTGACACAAACTGGTATGGCAGTGGTCTATAGGCAAGGAATATAATCAAAGCAAAGCATTGTAAAACACACAATTATATATTTTTGACCATTTTAAAGGCATAATTTATTAAAGCAACAGTTTTTCTAATTTTATGTGTATTTTTAACCTCTTACCTTAGCCATTAGACTGATAACAAAAAAGCCAAATTACATTCTTTTACATTCTTTTTTTACGTGCTAGCATACTTTGGCATGCTTAATGAAGGCCTATTTGCATCTAATGTGGTAATCTAACATAAGCCCAATATAACTGCATAAAGTCTACAGTTCTTTCTGTAAAGAATATATATATATATATA